GGGATTTGAATGAGGTATTCTCATTTATACTATCATACATAGTAAAACAAGGGTTAACAATCTATGATATCACTCGAATTATCAATTACAGTCTATATTGGACAGTCACATAACTTTCAATCTTCTATACTTGCTGTGAAGATGTTCTTCACGTGAAGCGAGATGTGGGATGGTGTTCTTACACACTTTCAATGCAATGTTCCTCTACAGGTAACGCTCCATAACGAACTAGCGAACCAAAATACAGTCTGGGATCCCAGACATTATCTTTATAGAACCAGGAGCCTACTGCAGGATAAGCATCAATGTTCTATACCTATTCGACAAAATAGTGGAAGGGACAGAGTTCAACAAAGATCAGTCACTTGGAGGAATCATAGTGGTTTCAAACAAGCCTAAACTGGGCTACTATAACACCAGAAGATCAGAAACTTGACCCATGTATCAACGTTAGCAAGAATAAACTCCGTTCACAAACGGAATCACTAACAGGATATTTCCAAATACTAGAACACCTTGTAAATCGGGAATTTTTGTTTGGAGTAAAAATTATGCAGGTTTTTTCGGAAGACATTCCTTCACATACTTTGTCGCCCTACAGTGGTCATGTAGAAACACACATGATAAATGATAGAAAGTTATCTTTGCTAGAACCACCACAATTCTTCGAATTACTGAGGCAAATAGGAATAGGGAAAGTGATGTGAGAAGAGAGGAAGACGATTCTTCACTAGAGTTAAAAATACAGGGTATATTATTTGAAAAAACTGATTTGAACTCTGTCTCATCATTTTGCGATTGTGCCGACTGTGATGAGTGCCAAAACATAGTACAGATGATATCCTGAAACTTTCATATCTGAAGTTATCATCCACCTCTTATAGTTGAAGTCGTAGGTTGGGGTCAAAATATGAGAAGATGCCCTGTACTTACGTGGGTAGGTATGACACCAATCAGCTCCCACCTTATTCATGCTGAATTATGGTGCTAACAGAAGTGATGAACGTGATATATCGAATCACAAAACAAGTGACTCTTTCTCTACGTTTTTCTACGATGCTCTTCAGAAATATCAACAATTGTTCGTCCCTTGGCAGTCTTCGCGATATTAACCCGTAAAGTTGAACCCTCACCTTATTCACGATAAATTAAGGTGCTAGCAGAAGTGATGACGTAATATATCGAATCGCTGAACATGTGACTCTTTCTCAACGTGTTTCTACGATGCTCTTCAGAAAAATCAACAATTGTTTTCCCTTGCAGTCCCCGCGAGATTAACCTGTCGAGATGAGGCTTCGCACCCCTTCGTGGTCACTTTGAAGACCTGCAGAACATCTCTTTCCAAAGAGTCGTTCATCCAACGAGCAGCGTGGCTCAAGAACACATTACCAAGAGAGTTGTTTCCCAAGGCATATAACCTCAAGAAATTCGAGAAGAACACCAATTCCTACCTCATTTCCCTTGGTTCTCACGATGTTCTCTGAACATTACAGGATATCCCTTTTCGTAGGATATAACGTTCGCCCCGTAGGTATTTTAGTTTCCGGGGTGAACTACCTTCAATTGTTTGTTTTAAGTTTGGCAAGTAGTGTGCTTGCTCGTTACTACACCTAGGGTCGTGGATTAGATAGCATTCATTAATAAAAAAAGAAACAATCTAGAAATAAATATAGGCGCCAAGTGATTTCAAAATGCCCGGTTGAAAGTGATATCCTCTGAGTTGAAATCACTAAACTATCCCAAAGGCAATAAAAACAGCTCTAGAGACAATCAAATATAGTGTATGTATATTAAAAATCTAATTATAACATATACATATAATCGAAAGGTATTCAGTGAACTATAATATTAGTTGATAATATTTTTGGGATCCCAAGAAAATCGTACCAGAATGTAGGTCGTTGAACGATCGGAAATAAAAATGTTCAACTACCCAACTAATTAACACCCAACAGGTAGGTACGCAAAACTACTTTTATGTACCCTGTATCTAAGCCTAAGGAAACCCGCTCATAAGGTTTCCATCACTCTGTATAAAAGGAATAAACATGACATGTGCTGAATACTAAATCTAAAGTTACTTAACGACTTATCATTCACTAATTCAACTAATTGCTTTTGTAACTCAGTCTGCATTAAAGAAGTTTGATCCTCTATGAGGTTCTTATCAGAATCGGCGTCTTGAAGTGTCAGAAATCAATCCGTATTCCGTTCTCCACACATTTATCACTAAAATTTCCGATTTGCTCGCTATGCCTCTGCTACATACGGGCGAAAAAGGTCTACCACACCATCCCTCGACTACGGATTTTTATGGTTTGTTCGCTATGTATTCGAGCATACGGTCGTCGTGGTTTGAAACACCATCCACTGAATCACGATAGTACCTCTATCGAACACACTAGTCTATCCAAACATCTAAAAAAACAATCCGCGGTGTAAATAATTTTCACAAAGATAACGAATCAATTTGAGAACTTGAAATAGTATTTTGATTGATGATTAAACGCTTACCTCCCAATGCCGAAACCCTAACACTGAAGGAGATGTTTTCTCGTGCACCAAAATCGAAGATACTGATCCAAACTTTAATTGTGCCGAGATATCGCACTTGTCCACAGACAATTCCCAACAGTTTGGCGATATCTCAAAAGCAAATTCGGGAAAATATCCGTATATATACGTAAGATTTTTGAAAATCGAAGAACCCGAAGTGTTGCCCATAAATCTTCACAACTCGTTCTCCTCAACCGGCAGATCGCTACCGCGTTCGAGCAAATCAACCTTTTTATCTCTTGGCAAAAAGTTTTGTTTTTCGTGACTCCAATATTCGAAAAGAACGTATACAGAGTGATGTGGTTTCTTACCGAAAGAAAAGCAATCGTTACTTATAATACTAGTTTTATTCCCAACTGATTATTTTCTCCAATAAAAATGAAATATCGTAACAAGGAACCAGAACATTTAAAAAAAATACTTCTGATATTTTGGTGCTTCAACGCATCGAAACTCTTTCATTACAATTTGGGAGCTGAAGCTAGCGACACTGCTTAATAGCAGTTCATTGCTGTGATACGCCTATGGCCTTCGAAATGATTGTCATAAGAAAGTTTTATCTCGTCGCTATTCAATTCGAGAAGTTACACTGCCGTGTAAAAGGAGAGGAATACCACTTTTGTCTGCGTCCGGGAACACGGCGCTGATTAAGAAATAATTCTTTCGGAAATTTATTTTCCTCTCGCAGTCGCTTCCGAGCGCAGCGACTGGATGGAAGAGAATTTAATTATTTCATGTGGAATTTCCGACCCGATCGCAAGTCACGACAAGTTTTCCGTTCGATTTGTCAGATGTTGAAGGAATTTCTAGCAAACGGCTTTATTGCAGTTAGTTAGCAACTACGCGAACTTGTATTTATTCAACTTGAATGAATTCACAGCTGCAAGGACACATATCTATAGAATTCGAAATGTTGATAAATACATGGGTTTTCCACCCATGTACCAGGAAAGTCCTATAAGGTTCAGTAGTTCGACCTCCCAAGTGTTTTTTTGTGTTCTGATTCCCACGAAAAGAGATATCCTGTAATGTTCAGAGAACATCGTGAGAATCAAGGAAAATGAGGTAGGAATTGGTGTTCTTCTTGAATTTCTGAACGTTATATGCCTCGGGAAACAACTCCCTTGGCAATGTGTTCCAGAGCCTCGCTGTTCGTTGAATGAACGAGTCTTTGGAAAGAGTGACCACGAAGGGGTGCGAAGCCTCAACTTGACGGGTTAATCTTGCGGGGACTAGCAAGGGAGGAACAATTGTTGATATCTCAGGAGAGCATCGTCCATGAAAATATCTATGAAATAAAGCCAGATCGCCAACTTTCCTCTGGTGTTCCAGAGAAATGAGTGAGTTTGTGAGCGAGGCATCACCTACGAGACGAATTGCCGTTTTTTGGACAGAATCCAATAGTTTCAGGGTATGTTTGGGTGCTGCACTCCAAATATGGGAACAGTATTCAAGGACAGGTCGGATCTGTGCCTTGTAGATCATAAGCAGCTGACTGGAAGTGACGAGATTCATTTTTGCCGCGAGAATAAGTTGAAAAGTTGAGACGAATACCATGCATACGATATTTTCGTGATCAGGATTGGTTTGATTCAAATTCGATGTTTATCATTGCCTTTGTTCTATTCGTCATTCGGTTGCTCCTGTACGAGCAACCTTCAGAAGTCTTCAAGAGACTTGTGTGATCCCATTAAATTTTCATGGCCATCATTGAAGGTAGGTATACTAAGTACTTAGTCTTCCTGAAGCCATGACTTCCACTCAGTTGTCATCGAACAGTAAATAGAGATGTGACATTTTCGAACAAAAACTACTAGGCAGATTGCGAATGATATCCATCGATGACCATTTGATCTCCACTGATTGAGGAGCTTAAAGTTAAAGCAACTGAAAATTCTGTCTAGATCAATATCTATAAATGTCGTAGCACAATGCGAAGGTGATGAGAAATAAGCATGTTCAATGATTGGTCAGTTATATAACCTTAAATTTCTAGATTTCAGATTGTACATCTACTTTACTATAACAAGACCTGGTATTCTGCAAGTTGAAATTGTTGGGTGTTCAATATACGCAATAAGCTTGTTCTTCTTTACGAAAAAGACCTCCTAGTGTTTTCCACATTCAGACGTTAATTTATAGACAGAGAAGTGACATGAATTATTCAAACTTTGTATATCCAACGCATGACCCTATTTTCCTGTGAGATAATTCAGTTCCACCCCTTCAAGTCCATTCTCATTCGCTATTTTTGTTTTTTCGATATCCCACTCAATCCGAGCAAGATTTCATCAACAAAGTGACTGGGAAATGTACAAAGATATAACGTTCTATCGCCTTCTCTAGAGTCTGCCGAATCTTTTGCGAAATCCCCGACTCATCCATTACGGATCTGAGGATACAATAAAAGAGCGCAAACAGTGGAAATGGCACGGTTTACTCACCGATATCAGAGGATCCGCCCCAAGTCCCTTGTTGGGCCTGCCGAGCCAGCTTGCTGATTGCGTCCACGTACATTCTTGAGGCAGCGGCGGCACCTGGAACAAAAAACACGAAATAGGTAGTGTCACAGAATACCAGAAGTGCTTCTCTGGCGCCTTTGATATTTTAGGATCTGTTCGCTGTGATCCTCCATGTTCTTGAAATAATGAATGTACTAACTGAATTCATTCACTCTGTGTGTCATTTATCGATACCAGTATAATGTATTCAATTCAATGAGAAGTAGTTTACGAAAGCCTACTTTCATTTTCAGTTTTCAAACACTGCTGAAAATTCAAATAGCTAGATTTTCATAAGATTATTATTTCAAAATGATTTTTTAAGAAAACTAAACTCAATTCCTACTCAATTGCACTTCTGCTTGGTCAATAAAAGGTATACAGAGTAGATTCATTCAACTGACTCTGATCAGATGAGGAACAAAACCAAGTCTCAGAGTTGTTTTTGCAACCTATAGCAGCGCACACATGACCACCTCCAAGGTTTTAAGCACTCATGTCTACAAATACAGATGAAGCAGATGGAGAATCTATAATTGGCTTCTTATTCACAACCTAATTAGGTAGACATCAAAACTTATCCGAACAGTACAACCCAAACAACAACACAACACAGCAAAAATAGAATATGTACTTTAATATCTGGAGAATTTATAATTGGCTTTTTATTCACAACCTAATTAGGTAGACATCAAAACTTATCCGAACAGTACAACCCAAAGAACAACACAGCAAAAATAGAATATGTACTTTAATATCTGAATATTTCACATGATCATTCCACAGCTCAGAATTCGATGAACATTTGATCAAGTAACCCAGGAAGATGGCCGACAACCTGCACCGTTCGAATGCGCGAACCCACTGCCGCACGAGGGATGATATTCTGATTATTGGGTATTCTGTGATAGTATCATAAAAGAGGATGTAGGATGAAAATGATGGCATAACAAAAACATAATTGAGGTAATGAGCAGTGATCACATTACCTGTGAAAAACTGTGACCGTTCGGCCACTTTTCCCATGTACATGTCCATAAGAAAATGTAATCCAACAAATAACGAGAAAAGGCTCTTTCAAGGTCATCCGTCTCCGACAAGCAGGCTACCCGCAAGCTGATGATTCATTTCAATAACAAGATGAATAGTATGTATGTTATACAAGGAATATGTGTTGAATAAAAATCGAAAAAACATATACAGGGTGAACCCAAAAAAAAATGTCACGTCCCCGACTAGTATCCTGTTCGATAATGGTTAGAACCAGGGTGTATGAGTAGCATAGCAAAAAAATATATACAGTGAAGTGATCAACTTGTGGATCACCCTGTATATTTTTCCAATGCTTATTCGACCTAAACACCCTAGATATCATACTTCATTCAATCTTCTCATTGTGGATGTGTTTTTGCCGGTCTCTTCGGAGCCGGAGTTCTCAGTCATCAGGCAGAGTCAAGTGGTGTTGATTCTGGAAGGTATAGGGGTGAATCAAACACCCTGTATCTGTGATTTTCCTCCATCCTCATCACGAGTTTTGGTTGAGAGTTTTTCAACATGTTTCATGGTTGATGGTGAAACGATGCGCTGTCGTCTATCAAATTTCAGTTGAACCTGAGCGTTTGCTTTTGGCTATGACCAGTTTGTCATATTTCAACAGCTATCTGTCATACGTGATACGTTAGCTGTTTAATATGTTTGCTGGGACCACCTAGTGGGGGGGCGGTCCTCCCGGGAGGCCCCCTGTATATTTTTTTCAATTGTCCCTCAACTCAAACACCCTTTATTCAACCATTATTGAACGGAACGGAACAATTTTTTTAGAACCTTGTATATGTTTTTTCGATTTTCATTCAACTCAAAAGCCCTGTATATAATCATTCATCTTGTTATTGAACTGAATCATCATCTTGCAGGTAGCCAGCTCGTCTTCATATCATCGCGTATCAAGATTGCGTTCAGATATAGATGAATCTCAGAATGACATATGGGTGTAGGCCAACACCAGCGTCATCGTTCCTGAAATGGCCGCACTGCTACAGAAACCCATCGTCATTCATTGTTTCCTATTCGACAACATGGCGCCCAAAGAACTTGCAAAATTCATGATCGGTGTCACTTACACCAATGAAGTACTGCTGAACAGCAGCATAGTCTCAATAATGTATTCATTGATTCTATATAATTATGCTGAGTACTCTGATGACCTCTCATGTCTGTCAGTCAAATAAGATATGATGGTACGCAACTTGCTGCATTGAAGGTTGCTTTTTGAATGTAGTGCTACGTAGCCACAATCAACCCAATCCTTGCTAGGATGGAATCACTTCCATTTTACTAATGGAATAATGCTGGACTAGAATATAGTCTCAGTTTCAGGAGTATAATCATCTGATAAAAGCCGTATTGAAGGGTCTAGCTAGTTGAATATATGTTATTCTGATAGATGTTGATTCTACAGGATAAATACTGGGAAGAGAATTGGTGAATAGTATACTGTCCTGTTCTCATGAACTGTCAACATTCCACCAGCACATATACATAGATCATTAATTGAAGTAACTTCCACAAGTTGAATCAATTATATTAATTGAAGATGTAACTCACGAAAGAAAAACAACTCTGGAGTTATAGTTCTGACTCATCTGCGATATGAAGTTGTCTGGCAGAGAATGAGGAGTTATCTAGATTAATGTTTGCACTTGAATAGAAATAAGATACAATACAAATGTGAACAATTCGAAGAGACAGGTGACCTATCAGCTCAATCAACATCCAGTTATTATAGCTAAATCAATATGAAAGGCCATGGCACGATCTCACATATTCCCTAGCTTAATTCAGTTCACTGGATTGTCATCATGTTCATATTCATATCTGGAAAACAAAAACGAAAATAAAGGAAGTCTGGAAAATATAGTTTTCTCATTTCCTTCAGATAATCCTATATAGATGCAATATAGTAGTCTGAATCGTGAGCCACATTTGAACACAATCCAAGAAATCCTGAATAAACTTCCTGACGAGAAGTTTGGAAATCGTCTGCAGATATTTTTCTGCAAGTAATGATACAACTATCGTTGCCAAAAATGAACTAACTGATGAGGAAGTATATATCCACTTCGGAATATATTTAGCAAATCTGAAGCCAAAGATCAATGATGCGAGATATGAAATATAGGGACATATTCTAGTCCTAGACAGGAAGAATTTTCATTTGGTAAGGTATTCTCAACTGCAACATGTTACGATTAGCTAGGATGGTTCCACCTATCCAAAATGGTTGTTTTTTCCATATTCATTTATGAGGAATTGCTGGAGTTAATAGTTTGCGGAAGTTTATATTTGAATAGGTACTAACAGTAAGGGGTTGCTGAAAGTAAGAGACTATATCTGAAAAACAATGTTCATTCTAACTTGAGACGATATGGGTGAATATAAATGAAAAATGATGGATATGAGGACTGATAATATCAATTTATATTATCATATTATGGGCTTATTATTTTCAAGTCACTAGTAAGTGAAACCTAACCCAAGGTATTCGATCGAGTCTGGCACACCACGGGCTCCTCGCCTAGCTTCCCTCTTATGGCTTGCTTCCCCAGCTATGTTCTCTGTTAGCTAGTTCTCTTTCAAACAGGTCTCTCCAGGTAGTGGTCGACGGAGTTCCATCTGACTTTCTCATCATAAATGCTGGTGTTCCGGAAGGATCGATTCTAGCATCGACACTATTTTCTACTCCAGTACACAGCTTCGCGGATGATAGTACCCTCCATACTGCTTTCTCTTCCAGGGCTCCAATTCCAGCCAGGCAAAACAGAAACGAACGAGGAAGAAATGTTGACAACATGAATATAGACTTGGCAACAATTAGGACAATTAGGATCCAATAACTTGGTAAATTTCAATGCAAACAAAACACAAGCATGCGTTTTCTCTTAGAAAGCCGATATCACTGTGCCCAACATAAGCTTGTCAGGAGTAACCATACCTTTGAAGACATTCATTTCGATGCTCGGGATTACTATCAGCAATAACCTTTCTCGGGAGAATCACGTGTGATCAATTGCTGAGAGTGCATCCCAAAAACTTGGTTTTCTGTTCCGGGCCAGGAGCTACTGCCTTCCAGTCAGCTGCTTATGATTTATGAGGCACAGATCCAAACTATCCTGGAATACTGTTTCCATATTCGGAGTGCAGCACCGAAACATACCCTGAAACTGGGTGATGCCTCGCTCAAAAACTCACACTTCCCTGGAACACCGCAGAAAAGTTGGCGATCTAGCTCTATTTTATAGATATTTTCATGGATGATGCTCTTCTGAAATATCAACAATTGTTCCTCCCTTGGCAGTCCCCGCGAGATTATACCGTCGAGTTGAGGCTTCGCAACCCTTCGTTGTCACTTTTCCAAAAACTCGTTCATCCAACAAACAGAGAGGCTCTGGAATACATTGCCAATGAAGGTGTTCCCCGAGGCATATAACCCCCAGATATTTAAGAAGAACACCAATTCCCTTGATTCTCACTTTGTTATTTCCCTCGATTCTCACTATGTTCTCTGAACATTACAGGATATCCCTTTTCGTGGGAACCAGAACATGAAAAAAAACATAACTTTCATCACAAAATCAAAATAGTTCCTCCAGTGGAATATAATTACGAATTTGAGTTGAAGAAACTAGACTCATAATTTATCTTCTGAGACAAAGAGGAATCCACCACGTGAGACATTAATAACCGAACGCATGCCTCTTTTGATAGAAGCCTTGATAGAAGTCAGTTCAGTCCCACACCCTTCCTGAATCGGCAACTCAAGAACCACTTATTCAAATAAGATATCGACTCAAGTTTGACTTGAGAACGCAAGGTTTGCGATAGGAGACGGCAGAAAGTGGAGTGAATTACGTTCCAGAATCTATTTATTATTCCAGGCATTTGCCCATTATCAAGCTGCCGCATTTTATATTTAGAATTTCGGATGATGCAATTTATAAAAAAGACAGGACTTGCGGAGGAAACGTGATAAAGAGAAC